CTTCTTTTGTGCTCGTTTTTTTATTACCCTGAACCGAATACATTGGACAAGATATTAAACATCTTTGTCAATATAAAGATCCCTGGGTCTTAACAACTGACCTACTTTCAACAATGCCTGAAACCTTTCAAAAAAGATATAAATATTTAATCAGTCATTTCATTCATCATCCTTTATATACATCAATTTTTCATCATCGCAGTAAAGAAATTCTCCCTAGCTGGAGGCAAGACCCATGCACCTTTATTATGTATAATAAGCATGAAAAGGGGGATTTATTGGGGTTTAGCTTTTAGGAATGTGCCGAGAAAGACAAAAGGTATATCTTCAAAAGACATTTTTCCCTCCAAAATATAAAATGTGCACACAGAGAGAGAGAGAGAGAGAGAGAGAGAGAGAGAGAGAGAGAGTTCGAGAGTTCTAATTTTTTTTAGGTAGAAAGATAGAAAATGTCATAAAATTCATAAAATGCTGCTTTATTTTGTAAAAAAAAAGTTTCAGTGAAGATTCTATCTCATACAAACAATAAATATAAACTGTTTGTAAATATGTTACGAGTGATTTATGCATTTTTGGCAATGAACGGTTTAAGTTAAATATGCAATTTGTCGGACATAAGAACCAAACTGCATTTTATAACGAATCCTGCTCTTGTTTAATAGACTTTCGCGAGAAACACTGACTTTAACAATCGACAGCACACTTTTACACCAGGAAAATATGAGAAAACTTTTTTGATGAAATATATGGAAATAGCGAACAGTATACGAGCTCAAAAGTCCATTAAATAATACAAATCAAGAGTAGAACAAACACAAATCTCTAAAACATTAGTGTTGGGATCAGATTCCATGAAGAAGTAAGCATCTCCTGCCGACCATTCACAGCCGTCACACCAACCGTGTGCTCCCTGTCATGATCGGAAAATTTGAATGTAAGGTTATCATTCAGTCTCTTTCGAATTAAATATCCAAATATGAAACAAATATATCCAACTTTCTTGTATTTTGTTTTATTGTTAGCTCAAATGGCATCAAAAGAAGGAATACAAATGTAATGAAAATCTTGTTTTTTCAGTGGAATAATGTGCTTCTCGTTGTTTCCGAACATAAATAGAATCTGTTTTCATCCAGTTTCATAAACAGGTACTTCCTATAAAGATGCAATTTAATGATTCAAGTTCATTGAAAGATTGCTTGGATCTTGCAGAACAATAATTACATGTCCTTTTTTTTTTACTTACCCCGGTGAATTGAATTAAAAGAGATATAAATGTAAACTTGTATAAAATTATGATAGTAAAATCTAGTCATCCATTATAAATCCCTTCCCAAACTGTGTTAAAGGTTCAGCCTTACAAGAGTTGCTTGGTTCCAATGATTACTAAGGGGAGAAAATGCAAAATATGTAAATGTGTAACATGTGACATCACAGCAATCGCTGAGCTCCATATCATTTTCTTTTTACGTACCCCGGTAAATTTAAGTGTAAATTAACTGAAGAATTTTAATGAATTATAAACCAGTTGAGCCATTTTCATCAGCAATTGTTCTACTTATACTTATAATATAGTTATCAAATTTGTAAATTGAAATTTTAATCCTAAAGTAACATTCCATCCCCACCAACGCTCTTTGTTGTCCGTAAAACATGCATGCCCTTTTTAGAAAGATAATTGATAAAATACGAGGGTTGTTCGAAAAGTTGGTGGACTCCTGTCATATCTTTTTCATTTAACTTCATATGCTGTCCAAATTTGGTAGAAATATTCTAACAATAAATCCAAATGATTTGTATTAAAAACTTTTAAATTATCATGATTAATTTCAAACCTATCCAGATTTTAAACTGCAAAAATCAGACCGCGGGGCAGGTCAAAATTTAGAAATTCACAAAAAACAATCGGAATAAATATGTCAATGGCTGAAGTCATATTCTCTGTAAAATGGAGCAGAAACTGAAAACTTCCTAAACTTTGAAAATAAGAACTGTTACATTGATTTATATTCAAAATTATGGCTTAATATTTTGATTCGTTGAAAAGAAATCAATTTGGGAAGATAGGTAGTTCTCATTGAAAGCGACAAAAATGATGACGTTGTTGAACGTTACAGAGTAGCAGATAACGATGCAATTTTGTGTTATATTCGTGAAAAATCCTAAATAAACTCTAAATATGTTAAAGGAATCACAAATTATGTCACAATTAAGTCGTGCGTGTGTTTATAATAGTACAGGCGGTATTTGAGTTACATAGACTCTGTATCGGACGAGGACAATCTGTGAAAGAACGGTTTATCTGGTAAAAACTGATCAAAATCTTTAAAAATTTGGAACGTCATGGAAAGACGTAGTGCTTCCGAGTTGCTGATCTTGTGAAAGCACAGTTAAGTGGTAAAAGAAATTAAAACATTGACAAAGGAAATTATACAACGAGAACAGTTGTTAGAAAAATTAATTTCAAGTGTTAGAAATTCTTGACGCTATGTTTTTGACGTTACATCGCCGTTAAGTATGCTCCGCGGGTGCAAAACATGTTGATTTTAAAATGAAGTGAATTGATTTCTATTAAATCGAATGAAACGAAACTTCACTCATAAACAAAACAATTGTTTTTACACAGGGTATTGAGCTTATTTTAGATTTCTTGAAAGTAGTATAACGAAGATTGACATCGTCCATGAACTTTTCGAACAACCCTCATACAGTATATACCTGATAATGTAGCATTACTTAACTGAATATTTCCTGCGGGCATTCGTTCTAGAAAAAAAAAACTTATATGTTACATGAAATACTTAAGTTAAAAAATGTGCTAATTATAAAATTCGCACGTTTTTATCAGTTGACATTTATGACATCATTGTTATATGATCTAAAAAAATGTATCCATGGGAAAATACCAATATACAAGGGGAAGAAATGTAAAAAAGACAAAACAAAGAAGGGTATTTAGATATAAACTGGCTTTTTTTTTCCTGCTCAATATTTGATTTCGATCATCCAAGTAATAAAGTAGATTGTATAAATAGCAAACATAACCTATAATTTGGTTGTATTTTCGCACGAACTTTTTGTTTAGCCTTTGCTTTAAAAAATAAATTTTTACTATTGAAAGTTCCGTCTAGCTGATGAATACATAAGGCTCACGTCGGGTTTGACAAGGGATGTTTACCCTCCTAGGCTACTGATCATCCCCGGAAATTTCCAGGAGTCCGTGTTTTATTCCCTTTTTACATATCTATATATATTGTTTTAAAAAATAAGATCGATTATTTTTCGTCACCACTTCTTACATTTAGAGCGTTCTGTAAGCTATTTTCTTAATCAGAATCGATGCTTTATGTATTTATTTGAGGGGATCATAAGGGGACTGTAATGTAACCATGGTATTTTTACGTAGCTTAGGGGGGGGGGAGGTTGGTAAATTTGTGTTAACAATCATTTTGTTGATGACTCAGAGTTTGATAAATCACAAAGCTTATAATTTCTTGGAGCACTTATTTTCAGTCATTTAAAAAGTTTTGGTTCCTACTTTGTTTAATGTATTTTACAATTATATCAACTTATAACAACCCAAAACTAAAACCTTGTTCGCGTTTTTCTCCGTGTTTGAGATTGTTTCTTTATTACAATACGCTTTTCTCTATATTCCATGCTGAAATGCAGCCTATGGTCATTATTTATGCCTTAAATTGTGTTATTTATTATATTCAGATATTCATAATAAGGTCAACAAACCTGTATGCAGTGATAACATCGATAATTAAGATCATTTTCTGATAGGCTTCAATAAGAACTGATCCAGCTTGTTAGAATACATGTAATGATTTTCAATAAAAAAAGGTCAATGAACCTTTCACTTAAGGTTACAATGAATACTTGGGGAATATTCCATTACTTGTGAATACAGTTCATGTTCCATAATATATTTTCACTGCAAACAATGGTTCCTCAATGCAACAAACCTATACAGTGATATATTTTACTTCCTCCTTCCAAACTTACGTGGGTTGTCCGTAAAGTTCGTGGACAAGCTAAAATTTGATCTAAAATGGTTTCATTAATATTTATTATCAGCATATTTATAATCCTTTACTAAATGTGAATTATAGAATATAAAACTATATTCAATTTCAAATATATAATTACAATAATGGCTTCATTATTAGACCTGGGATGGTGACCCGGAGCATTACAAAATTATCTTTAAAAAGCTATTTATTACTTTATAAATTTCATTACTATTTTGCAAAATTCCGCAAAAATACCGATTGCTTGCACATTATGAGGTTGACAAAAGTTATAACATCAAACTTGCAAAATTTGAACGTTCAGATTTTAGAAATAGCTGAGAAATCGAGGTTATAATCTTTTGAGACAGGATCGGCATTATTCGAAAAAGGGACGTTTTTGGAAAAGGTGAAGCAGAGAGCAGTGATAAAATTATGCGTAGACATCGGAAAAACACCAACAGAGACTCATAAATGCTGTAAACATTCAGTAAAGTATAGTAAAGGAAGCCGTTCTTTAGTATTTAAGTGGAATATAAGTAAAATTTTCGGACAGGAGGAACAGTTTACAGGATGACATGCCTGAAGGAAGACCATCATTCCGAGATTGCAGTGCTTTAAAAAATGAATTTCGTAACGTGACTTTGCCGTATTTACGTAAATTAAGTCGTTTATTCGCGGACAAAGGTTTGATGATTTGCAGGATCTGAGATAGGAAGTGTTAAATAGTACTAGTATTTTACATACGAAACCTGAACAGTTTGAACACATTTTTGACGACTATTTCAAATGACATGCGTAAGAAATGTATTGAGTTAAACGGTGACTGTGTTGAGAAAAGTAACATGCATCATTAAGATTTTGACGTCGGGTTACGTCAAGAATTTTCGTTTTTAGTGCTCCGGGTATGAGTGTGTGTCTTTTTTGTATCTGATAAAAATTTATCTATTTGTGCTTTGTTTTTGTTTAAATATAATTGCATATGTATAAAATGAAACATTAATTTAATGAAAATAATAGTTTCAAATATTTTATCAATGTTTGTCAGTAATTATCAGTGTTGTCCACGAACTTTACGGACAACCCTCGTACACACAGAAAGACAAATTATTGAATCAGAATTTATGAAAAAGATTGCAACCAGCTTGGCCAAGTAGATGGAGAATATCGTGTTGATTTTCAAAATATGCCAAGAAAATAGCAGTTAATCCATCAAAAGTTTTCGAGTTTAAATCAAGACCTTGCAAAGTTAGAAGGTATTCAAGCAGTTGCTTATTCCCTGTTTTAGCAGCCTTGTGTAGAATTGTCATACCAAACAGTTTCTCCCGATCATTCACATCTGCTCCATGCTTTAGCAAAAGACGCATGACAGAAAAATGCATTCTGTCTACAGCTAAATGTATGCATGATTGGCCGAAATAATTTGGGATTGATATACACTTCTTAATGATTTTTCTTTCTACATTCTCTAATAGTAGACATACAATTCTATCAAATCCATAAATACAGGCGATATGCAATGGAGTGTTGCCATTTTTATCTACAATTAACAGGCTTGCACCGTTTTTAATCAGTGCAAAAACTACCTTTACATGATTTTCATGGACAGCCAAAGAAAGAGGTGTTTGTAAATCGTTATTTTGAATATTTAACAGGTCTGCATTGACACCAGAAAGGCTTTTTAAAATGTATTCAGCAACAGGAACTAAGCCGTCTATAATAGTCATATGAAGCTCGTCGTCACTGCGTAGCATTTTCTGTATATTTGGATACGAAATAGCGTATGGAATCTCAACACCTGTTTCTGCATGATTGTCGTCCGCAATTGTTGAAAACTGATGGGAATTTTGACCTTCTTTCGTGGTTTCTGATACTCGAAACCTTTGTTTTGAACTTGCATTGCATGAGAAAGAGCGGTGATCTTTTTCTGGTGATTCCAATGCTTGGACGTTAAAAGATTGGGAATCTGAAGTAGAGGGGTTCTGTGAGTGTAATGGAATTCCTCCAGATCTTGGAGCAGAAAAATAGATCAAGGTATGATCTGTTTGAATCCCGGACAGAGACTCGCAGACACCGCCATCAGTTTCAAGACTCTGATCTGGAAGCTCATGAAAACTGCGACTTCCTTCATCCATTGATCCTTCTGTACAAAATAAAATATGAAAAAACTGTTATTCAAATTAAAAGTTATTTATCCAAAAGAATCGTACAATTCTTAAATCTAGTATTTTACAAATATGCTATGAATTCAAGTGCATGAAAAAAACTTTTTTTTTATTTTCGATGAATAAATAAGAGTACTTAGACATAATAAAAGAACCATTATCCATAGGAATTCACCTTTCTGTTTAAATACATCAACATACTATCCGACTTCCTGAGGATCCATTTTCTTTCTTGTAGAGTTTCCCCAGATAACCTGTGTGGAATTAAAAAATTCATATCTCTTTCACAACTAATCAACACAACCCAAAATAATTTTTTTAAAAATAGAACATGAACTTTTTCAAACTTGATCACCTTCAAATTGAAACTTAATTTATATGTCTAAGATACTTTTTAAATATATATAAAAACACATATGTAACAAATACGTTTTTTTTTAAACAAACTAAGTGTATAATACATTGAAATAAGTTTAACCATAAGAATTATATCAATTGTCAATAAATAAATCTTACGGCCATATCTAGTTATGACATTCCTCTGATACACGTCATTGGAAGTTACAGTGTACTTTCGATTTAGATATACTAGTATTTTTGTTTTGAACTCTATTAGGTGCAATATCAATGGCTTACTAAACATACCTCAAATAAATTCATCGTATCAAATTTATTATATAATTCAAATGCTATCAATATGTACTGTCCTTTGTACCTATTTTAGTACAAGTACCTACATACCCGGAAGCTTCAGAATCAGCAAAGATTATTACTAGAAATAGGTATCCAGTATGTATTTTTGGGTTCAGTAGGCTACTTCTGCACAAAAGGAAGTAAATTCCACTAAAATTTATTTTGAATAAATATCTGTAAATTTATATCAATTATAAAACATTTGCCAAGTGAAAGATATATTTGATACATTTTTTAAAAACAAAATCTGCTGAATTTCTTCCATCTTAATGAAGATAAAGATTATGTCAATTTTAATAGCAAACAAGTTTTGGTCAAACGTATATAATTCAGTTATATTATTCAGTATTGTTACAATATCGAGGCTCATAGTTTATTGAATTACATTACTTTTTCGTTAATTTTCCAGGAGCGTGTGAAAGTTGTTTATAAACAAAAAACGTCAGTCAATTACTTAATGATAGAATATGATTTAAAGATGTATTTTAAATGCAAATGAGAAATTTAAAAAAACACGAATAATAAATTAAAATACAGAAATGTAATTATTTTTTTCGTGTAACTATTCATCTCACAACAAACTAAGTAACACATAAATGTGGTTAATTATTTTTTCTTATAATAATTCATATGAGAACATAATTTACAATCATAGAAACAAGACTTAAAGATGGATGACATTTTTGCTCAGTGAATTAATCAAGATCCATAACTAATGGCTCACAATTATTTTGAGTTAATATCATTGATGTGGTGTCTTAAAACCTTTGCCGTGTCACAGAATCCCAGTCTTTCTGCCAGTTGTAGGGCAGTTTCTCCAGCATAAGACGTAGCATCCAAAGCAATGCTTTCCAAACCTAACACGTAGTCCAGTAACTCAGAATTGTGTTTTTGAACAACACAGTGAAGTATGGTATAATTGTACATGCCATCTTTAATGTTGACACTGGCACCACTTGACACAAGCAATTTTAGAACACTATGATGAAGACCGTTAGCTGCTATATGAAGACAGGTCTGTCCATAATAGTTGAGTGTCTCTATGCAGCTTAAGACCTGCTGTCTGTCTCCAGTATCCAGAACCGTCCTCACTATATCGTCGTATCCTTCTCTGCTTGCGATGTGTAACAATGTATCACCCTGGTCATCACAAAGTCTTACATCCGCTCTCTCTTCTATAAGCAACGCAACGATTTCAACCATTCTTTGCAAAGTTGCAGCATGCAGTGGTGTCTGTAGCTTTAAATTAGGAAAATCCAACCATCCCCTATCAACAGAAACTATGCATTCTATAATATAGAAAACCGTCTGTATTTTCTTTTGCCATATAGAAGTGTGGAGTTGAGTGTCACCGTCTTTATCTCGACACACCATCTTTGAGAACTCTTCATTTTGAATTGCTGGAGAGAAAGAGCTGGATGAAATGTTCAATTGCTTTAAAGGATGACTAATTCCTGGGCTTTCTGGTGTTTTTCTAGATTCGGTTGGAGGTTCAAGCAGGCGTTGTTTTGACAAGCTGAGGCTTTCTTCTTTCAGGCTTACGTTAGAAATTCCAGAAAAATACCCTGACTCTGCGTCCTTGTTAAAAAATAAGGGGCAGCCATCCTCTTCTAAACTTGCATAGCTCATATCGCCCTCCGTATTTGAAGTTTTTAGGTCCATGATCTACAAAGCGTAAATAATGTAAATTAATAACATTTCTAAAATAAAAGATTATTTTTTAGTTCATATGAAAATATTTTACTAACCAAGTGCAAACGTGGGCGTCAAAACACAAAAAATCTTTTAAATACTAATATTATGAAAAATATAGATGAAAATTTTCAGTTCTATAATTAGAACTTTTGGAAATCCTACTTGCGTTTTATTAAGAAGCACGACATGTTTGAATTTATATTGTTAGGTATATATTTATATACATTTTTTTTCTCAATATAAAGAAAAGAAAGCCTAATATAAAGTCATTTAGTATTTTCAAACAGAGAAAAAAACAAATTTTCACATTAATGGTGTATAATGAAGAGTTTCCTGTTGACAACAGATTTTACATAGGAAATTAAATAAAATATTCGAGAGGAAGCTTGTCTACTTTTGTTTCGGCAAAAATTTACATCTGTTAACAGACTTTTTTAATCTACAACCAGTTAATAGAGTAAGATTTTTTTCAGAATAATTAAAAGTATATTTTAACCAATCAGATTAATTATCTCTTAATTATCTGTTTATTTAAAAAAAAAAAAAATTAGTGATTGTTTTCTTTAATTCTATGATCTATAGTCTTTTGATATTTATAATAAAAAAAATTAAGTGTAAAACATATCACCACCTACAATCCCCGTAAATTATTTATGTCTGAGTATAAATTTGAATAAAGATTACTTTAAATCGGTGAATATTATAATAGCATTCATACAATTCGATTTTATTTTTATAATAAAAAAAGGCCTTTGAGAGAAACCAAAACGTAGGCCTTACATCATTTGAGGAATACAGAAGTAAAATTAAAAAGATGACGTTCAAGAAAAAAATAAAACCTTCCTTTCCGAGATTTCAACGCATACTTCCCTGTGATGCTCTTTTCATTGCATGTATGTAGTTTGTATCTAAGAAAACAATTATAAAAATCCATGGCCAACTTAAACTTTCACCAAGTCATTTTTTCAAAGAAAAAAAAATGTCTACCGTATGTGAAGGATTTCTAAGAAAAAAAAATGTTGCTCAAAATACGTGAGCATGTCATCGCATTTACCTAAAACTCATTGTATGTATAAAACTTTAAAACTTCATTATACTGGGAAATGTTATTATTTATATCGTTTATTATTCTGACAAATATTGATCAAAGTGTATACATTTCATTAAAACAAAACTTGTAGATTTTGACCTTGTAATATTTGGTTTTGAACATATCTTTCATTTTTGTTATTATACAATACTAAAACCACTCAATATAACTACAATACGAACAATAACAATAGATTGAATTTTTATATTCTTCAGGATGACCTGTCCCTTCCTCGGGATAACATAAAACTTAGACATTCATAAAACCAAATGATTGGAAAAATTAAAACAACTCACACGATGACTGGAATATTGAATCCTATATATTTACATTTTTACACGTTTCATTGTTAGGGAAACAAACATTTGCTTTGAAATAATTCTAGACATTTGTGAAATACATCCGGTGAAATCTAGTGAAGCACGACTTACAAACACGTGTAAATAAATGATTTTTTCTTTGTCCGGGAGGAGGAACAAAGTGTCTCAAAATTTGACAGTTTCCTTTCCTTGTGTCGTTGGTCACTTTTATTTTCCTGCCCTGCCCAAGAGAAGATACATCATGTATTACTTGTACTTTATTTTCTCTAAATGAATTGTAATGAATTTGTAAACACTGCTATCATTTTCTATTTTTGTGAAGGATCTTATCCTTTTGTATTTATTTTACAAGAAAATAGAAAAAAAAACAAAGAACAAAATATCAATTACTTTTATGTTTGTTTGCTAAAACTGGTAAAAAAAATTAATAGAATATTAATAGAATATACTGTATAAAAATGATTTTAAAGAATAATTCAAAAGATTGCAATTCGTTCTTTAAATAGCAAGATTAAATCATGTGTACGTGTACAATTTGGTATAACTTATATAACGTGTAAATGTTCAGTTTGTTATAAGTGTATGAATTTATGTCACTGATTAAAAATTGTCATGTCACTACTCATGGTTACTATAAAGTTTTCTAGAGAAGGTCATCAATGAAGGAAAAGCACCCACTTATACATCGCCAAGGACCCTCTTGTTATAGAGCATTTATAAACCTTTCAAATAATTTGAAATAAATAAGACTCGTAAATAACACTTGATTAATTTTCGGATTGTTATATATTAAATAGTTAAGATTATGTTCAATTCTATTTCTATTCATTTGTCTTATCGGATGTAAATCTACCTGGTTCATCTTTCACGCCTTTTCAGACAGTTTAATCTACAATTAATCTACTCCACTGAAAACACATTATTGAATATCTAAGAGGCTCATTAATTTCTCATCAGTTTTTATGAATGCAGTGACAAATTAGGGACAGGGTCTCACTATCAATAGGTCCTGTACTTTTCTTGCTATGCAGACCTTCATTTTATTTGATTCCAGTCTTGTATTTTAAATCATTACAAATGTGAATTATATGGTCTTGTTTTTGTACATTGAAATCCATTTAGAAAATTTTTTCTTTATATTGGTGTTTCAATTCAGCTAGCCCTTTGACCCCTATGCTATGCTTGCATTTTCGCACAATTTTATATCCTACAGCTAAGTAAAATTCAGCTGTTTTCTTAATTTGGTTGATGATTATTTTTATTATTTTAAGGTATATTATAAATCTTTAACGCTTTTAAAACTGAATGATTATTTCCACTCAGATTTTCTTTAATGTACAAATCAATAAAATACAGATTGATTGTGTTTTTATTCCAAACAATTGCACTGGATTTCAAATAAATGGTATATATATAAGTAGATGTACAAAATTAACTATAAAATAATATAAACAGTCAGATGGTGGTCGATTACAATTAAGAAGAAATGTTGAGTAAATGATATTTAATATATGTACTTTGTTTGAATAGCCATTCAATGAATAATTTAAACACTTTTCTGTAATAACTTTAAACATTTTTGCTACACCACAAGAATATCATGTAGAAGTATAACAAAGGCTTGGGAAAAATCGGGTTGTCTACTCATTTAAATATATTATAAGCTAAATAAGAATAAACTCTCATCAAAGTTCAGTATGCGATTGCTGAAATGTTTCACCCAGCATTTCTAACATATGCTCTTAAGACGTTCAACAAAACTTGTCAAATATGAACAGTTACTACGGTACATAACCTAGGTACTGATCATCTAAAACAAAACCCTTCTTTAATTAGTTTTCATGTTCTTCCTCCTTCTTTATTTGTAGTTCTTCTAGGCACTTCATTATTTGACATTCTGATGTCATTGAAGTTGAAATTTGGAACCTGAAATAAATTATTGAAAAAAAGTCTAAGATGTTCATATCTTGTAAATGGTCACAAAACGTCGTACTTTATAATAAAATATGCAAGAAGATGATCTAAAGGAAAAGTAGAAGACTGTTACTTTGTCAGAATGGATTAAGCGCTGTAAAGTTATACTAGTATCTATTTTATATTTACTATATTAGAACGTAAAACTTATGAAATTGATACTTCCTTTTTTAGGAGACTGGGTGTATTAATAGAAGTAGAATGACTAAATAAAAAACACTACTATCTTGTGGTTTTAGCTGAAAATACATAATATGTTTGGAAACTCAATAATACAAAATGGGTTTGAGTTTAATTCCACAATTTTTGAGTTTGAGTTTAAATTCACAATCTTGAATCAAATTTATTTACCTTTTCCTTTCAATTTCGATTTCGATCCAAAATTGCTATTAAAAATCATGGTATCTATTCCTCAAAAAAATTTATAATAGTCTTTCAATTGCTTAATGAAATGAATATAAAGATAAAACGGTGAGCGATATCCAAAACTACAGACTATATTTATCTGTTAATGAGGCTAAAACCACAATCACATTTCCAAAAACGACCAACGGCCGACGGCTTTTGAATGGGATTCCTCGGGTGACAGTGGGCAGTTCATCGGCCGTTGTATTGCATGATTTTGACCTATTTTTGACTTTGTTATTTTTTTTTTGTCCATTGGTCCAAGTTATAATTTTTTCTGCACAAACCCCGAAAATTTCAAAGATGCCAAAAACATGACGTCCGCCTAAGCCCTATGTATTGATCAATGAAATATATGGAGAAAGTCCATTAGAAATTACAAAATAGGACTGGAGGGAACATGGACTCCAAAATATCGGAGATGCGATCATGTGCCTTGTATGGGTAAACATCCCCTGCCGCCCAGTCACACCTGCCGTGTGCTCCTTGTCATTATCGGGAAATATCGGAATTTCCGTTGACAATTCAGTGTATAGGTATTGGCCTAACAATCAGCATGAAAAACGTCAGTGGGCACTATTTCCCAGCTGAATTTCATATGCAAATTACTATAGTAATTCAAATAAATTGACTTGTCCAAGATACGACCAAATGATAGATTATAATTGTTGACAAGGTCATTATAATAACCTTATAATTTTGAAATGGTGCTTTTAAGTTAAATTGATAAGAGAAGATAACTATATAAATTTTGGTAACGGGTTGAAATATAAAGAGAATATCTTTTAAAATAGCGAACATTAAATTATTCGTAAAATAAGTCGTTTCTACGTCATCATTTTTTTTATCAATTGAAATAAGTACTTTTTGTTTCATTTGAATTTGTAGGATTGGAAACCGATATCTTAAATTTTTATTGTAAATTTTCCATGTATGCGACAGGATCTGAAATCTATTATATCAGGTGTAATGACATGACAGATCATATTATCCGTAAAGTAAAAAAGACATTGATGCTTTTTTTAAATGTATTAGTTCTGCCTTAAGTAAATTGAAATGAAGTTTAAATGTATATACGACGTTTCTTTGAATTTAGTTTGTCCGTATGATTGTTTTATAATTGTTTGATTCGGAGTATGTTTAATGGCTCGTATATTTAGAATGCAATCTGTCATAACCTCGATGTTGGTTCCATTAAATCTTTTTAACAAGCAATATTTGGTTGTATTAATAGAAATTAACAGGATTTAGTTTTTGTTTTGTTTTTGGTTTTATTTTTGTACATATATCGCTGAACGTAACTGAAGTTGCACAAAAATGCCGCAATATAAATAAACGTAGTTTTCCTAGAATAGATATTTTATTCTATATTTAGTTCAAATT